CCCGCCCGCCACGACCTGTCACCTCTATTTCCCGGCTTGATCCATCTCGCTAGCCGGGCGGGGCGGGGCCTTGCACCGTACCGGGGCGGGGGAGGGGGCTGAACGTATGTTGGCAGCAGAGAGTCCCCCGAGGGAATTGGACTAGACCCGCCGGGCCGGGCGCGAGGGAAGGCCAACATGATCAAAGGAGAAGGTGTCCGCCACAACAACGCCCCTCCCCCCCTTTTCTCTCTCCGCCCGCCCCCAGTTTCTTCTTCTCTCCATGTTTCTCTCACAAAAACTAAGGACCGAGCGAAATTGGGAAGAAAAACAGCGATACCGACAACATTAAACCATGCAATTTCCGCAAAAGGCAAATGCAAAAAAAAACTTGTCCTATTTTCGAAAATGCCTCATTTGTGTCGGACACTAAACAGAGCCGCCGCCGAGCGGGAGGGGCCACCGCCGACGCGTCGAGACCAGCTCCAATTACAACATGATAATCATCTGATCGATTATTCCGGCCAATCTCGCTGCCCTCCGGGCGGGGGCGGCTGGGGCGGGCGTTTGGTCTGTGCGTCTGTGGAGTGCTTGCTGCCGCCCCCGCGCCGCCCCCGGCCACAACCCTCCTCTCCCCCAACTTGTCATCCACGACCACATTACGGACGGGCACTACGATACAATAACAGATGAAGCGCGGCCCGTAGCGCACACCCTCCACGCTCCTCTGGGGACGCCCGCGCGCCCGCGCCCGCGCACCAGCTCATCCCCGACCGTGAGTGTGGCCACGCCCCCAATGACGACGAGCATATGTGCGCTACCCCCGCAGCCTCCCGCCCCCGCCCCGGCGCCACCGACTGCATATCAAACAGGCCCAGGGATGAGGCCGAGCAGGCCTCCTCCCACACACCAGTACCCGGGGCTCGTCGCGAATAACGCAACCGATGTAGTCTTCGGCGGACACCCGAAGGGGGACCGAATAGAGACGCGGGGAGGGGGTGGGAGGGGGCATCTGCTGCACTACTGCACCACCTCCACCCACCTGGTGCAGGCCAAGTCTGCCGTCACCGTGGCGACCATCCGCCGCGGTTGCCATGCCGACCGCAGGAGGTAAATACTACGTGTGAGCCTCTACGTCGCGGGCGTGAGTGCGGGGGCGGACGTCCGGGGCCAGCGACATGGCCACCCAGACGGAAAGCGACATCTTCTGCGAGGACGCCGACGGCCCTGGCAGCCACCAGGACATTGACTTCGCCGTCAAGACGGAGAGGGTCCTGTCCGTGCTCGACGACACGATCCAGCGAGCGCAGCTGGCGGTGGGTACAAGACCGCGCGCGCGCTTATAGGTTAGGGGATGTGAAATCAACGACTTGTTTTTGCGTGTTTCTCGTCTTGCACATTCGTGTGAATGATAAATCACGGCGTTCAACAGCTGTGTGTGGTAGGATAACAGTAATAGACAACATCTCGCAGCCACGCTGGCAGGGCAGGCACGCCCGTTGGACACGCGTGCGCTGCGGCTTTGTCGAGCTCCCCGCCGCCAGGC